TCTCTCTCTCACACACACACTTTTTCTCTCGTTCTATCAATTGAAAAAATAAAAATTTAAAAAATAATAATTACTGGTAAATAATATGTAAATTTAAGAAAATCAAGTACAAATAATAATGTTCAAAAAATGCCAAGAGTGCAATCGGGAATTATTGTTATAAATCAAAAGTACACTCTGTAGGAAGCATTGTGGTATATTTTATTTGGCCAGACGACCTCGGGTTTGGCCGCAGTGACCACTTTTATCGGGGAAAAATTTAACATCAAATCTTGTATTTTATGAATAAATATATCATATTATATATCAATGAAAAGGTATGGAGGAATAGAATCGATATCTGAAAGAATTTCCCAAATCTAACATAATGGGTAAAAGTTATATCAAAATTAAAAAATTTAGTAACAGTTATGCACGTTTTTTGTATTGATTAACGTAATCACTGTACACCATTTATATCAATTTAAATTATGCTCACAATGATAATTAATTTTGAAAATTAAAAACAAATAAAAAATTTTAATATAAAATTTTTGGCATTTTACCCATTTACATTAAACTTTGTCCTTTATAGGAATTAAAATTGTAAAATAACAATAAATAAATACACAATTTACAATTCAATTAGCAATTATCGCAATCAATCATGTTAAATTGGTGTAATCTTGATAAATGTTTTACACTTAACGGAAGACATTGCTATAAATACAATATCATATAAAAACAATAAAAAAACAATTTGCATATAAGGTTAGATATAATAACACTAGTATTTAAGTAAAACAACTTGTTGAATATGCATTTTTTACTTAACACACATCATTTTAAAAGTTTAATTTAACCAACAATTGTGAAATCTCTCAAACATATCTATGGATTCATTAAAATATATTTTACACAACTATTGGGCCGAAGAGACGGACCCCCAGATCGTTGACTGGCCGCTAATGAGTGGCGGACCCGAAATTTTAATGGCAATTTTGCTGTTATGGCTATTATTTGTCACAAAATTGGGACCAAATCTCATGAAACACAGAAATCCGTTTGTTTTGCGCGAAATAATAATGATTTATAACTTTATATTAGTCGTAATCAACGCATACTTTGTTTACGCGTCCGTCAAATGGTTAGACTACGGCCGCAAGTCATGGCTAACTAGACTCCCGGCCCGTAACCAGTGGTCGGACAAAGCGATCGGTGAAATACCAGAGAAAGCGTTCTACGCCTACACTAAACTCTTTGATTTATTCGATACCGTATTCTTTGTGTTGCGAAAAAAGTCAAACCAAGTCTCGTTTCTTCACGTTTACCATCATTTTATGGGTATCATCATCACTTATTATATAACCATGCATTTTGATATAACCTTAAATCAATATGAAAAATTAGATCTATTATTTAAGAGGTTGTGTTTAAAATAAAATCTAAGTCCAGCATAAAATCCATATTACAATACTGTATGTTATAAAAAAATAATTTTGTCAGTTATAATGTACTTTTATTGTTAATAATCATAATATATTGTATACGAGAGAAATATGGTTAAAATATTGTTGATAAAATTATTTGCATGTTTGTGAATAACTATATAGAATGTTGCTGTAATTTATGAATAATTTAAATCATTTTACCATCATTTAGTTCCTGTATTGGGATATATTGGAGCAAAACTGTGTCCGCAAAGTGTGGCCGTAGAAGTGTTTTGTTTGCTTAACTCTATTGTACACACAGTTATGTACAGCTATTACCTGTTGTCGGCATTTGGACCCCAAATACAGTCCTATTTATGGTGGAAGAGATATATCACACGATTGCAGTTAATACAGTTCGCCATATTAATTACGGGAATGATATATGGTCTATATCATGGTCATGCAGCCGATTATCCCATAGGAATGCAATGGGTAGTTGGTATTCAACCTTTTATCTTTTTTATTATGTTTTATAAATTTTATTTGAAAACATATACTAAAAAGAATAAAGTGAATTAACATTGATGATTTGATTTTATTAATAATAAAATTTAATAATGCATAAATAAAATTTTGTTTTAATTATTTACTAACTTTACCATCAACTTTGCACACTGTTTTTTACCACAAAAACCAACACACATTTCCCTTAATGCTTTTTTAATACGGGTTTTTTTAGGGGGGTTCGAATTTAGGTGGGGAACTAGACAGTATATGAGGGTAAATCACTATTCATTATTTTAAATGATAGATAAACATCAAATGTATAAATTCCATTCATGCTCAAAATTAAACAAATCGTTTTTGGAAACCTTAGCCAATTATTGAACCTACATCTTGGTTAAATGTTTTTAAAAATCCGTAACTTTTAATTATGAATGAATAAAAATCTATTTATTAACTTTTGGGTAAATAATTTTGATCACTTTACGTGGGATTTAATGAAAAACTAGTGGGGCGATAATTAATAGTTGTAGTCTAGATGTTTATGTTAACCATTTCGTTTCAATTAATTTACTATATTTAATTTTATCATTAGTGAATTTCTAATTTAATTAAATTAATAATAATTAAACGTTTAGAAACCTGTAATTAAATAAAAAAGGTTTTTGTTTTTAATTCATACATTGAAATAAAAACACATGCTAAATTCTAACTTCCTACAACATTTAAACTTATAAAAAAGATTACATTAATAATAGTAACTTACTATTAGTAAGTAATAAAAAAATATTAAAAATTGTAAAAACAAAAATATATAAAATTATGGTAAATATAACTCCGTTTGCATACAAACTATTGGCCGTCGCGTGGATTACAGCTCAACGACAGCTCATTCACGACAACACTTGTGCCCGAACTCAATGGCAAAGCAGTTATGACTTCATAGTCGTGGGCGCCGGGGCTGCCGGTGCTGTTGTGGCCAATCAACTCAGTCTCAGCCAATCAGTGCGGGTCCTGTTGTTATAGGCCGGGGGACCACAAAGTGCTGTATATAATTACATTCCGGGAATGGCTGCCAAAGTGGTTAATCTCGGTATAAATGAATGGCTTTATTATAACGAACCTAACATTAATTATGGTAAGCAGTACGCCAGGGGTCGGATTAAAGTGTCAAGTGGTAAAACCTTAGGTGGCAGTACAGCTCACAACGGCATGACTTACAATCGGGGTAATTATAGGGGTTATGATGAATGGGCCAATACTTACGGCGCCATCGGTTGGAGTTATAGGGATGTGTTGCCGGTGTTCAGGGAGTGGGAAAACAATACGAATCCACGTATTGTATACAATGAACCCGAATATCACGGAACTCACGGACCCATAAAAATAACTAGACCTAAAAATCCGGATAAAATATTTTCTGTATTTTATGAAGCATTTGAAGATTTGGGATACAATGAGACGGATATCAATGGCCCGAATCAAATCGGGTTTATGTTAAATCAAAAATTTACAAATACTTTTGGTCTGAAGGCGGGAACGGGTAATGTGTTTATAGACCCGAACCCACGTCCGGATAACCTGCATATAGTGTGCAAAGCATTGGTCACTAAAATACTGTTCAATGGGTTGACAGCCATTGGCGTCAAGTTTATAGTGAATGACATCTCGTATACGTTTTACGCCAACAGAGAAGTCATTGTTTCCGCCGGTAATTGAAAATATTTTTAAAGAAGTTTGCGCAAAAATAATGGTGAAAATGCCAAAAATTTTATTTAAATTTAAAAAAAAAAATTTTAATTTGCGAAATGAATTATTGTGTTTCTCACGAACAAGAAAGAGAGACGTTATTATTGTCTCTTCAATGCTATGGTTACGACAAATGCATACAAAATAGTGGCAAACATTAGTCAAAACAATGCCTTATCCGGTGATAACATGTTGTGATAATTTTAGTCCCATTTATAGTCACTAAGTATAGTAAATAATGTGATTAACGTATGATTAATAGTACTAAATACTAGTCATTTGTTTTAAGAGGTTATAAAACATAAATTTGTGTAAATTGTGCCCAATTTTGGATATGAATAACGTTATGTAAATTAAGTTTATAGTAATTATAATAAAAACTAATTATACTGTGATTTAATTGTGATTTATTGATCAAAATGAGTGATAAAAATAATGTGCAAACCATTGGTAGTGGTCATTATGTGTCAAAACATATGAAAAAATGTATAATAAATCAATTTAATATAGTAAAGTCTGAAAACAAATACAAGTATAAATACGAGATTATTAAACATTTATCAGGACTTTACTTAATAAGTGAATCAATTATTGATAATATTATTAATACTGGTATTAATAATATAGTTTCACCTAAAAAAACACACAATAGACAATTAATTTGGGATTTTATTGAATCTGATTACGCGATAATAGACGACGTTATTTGTGCCTTCAATGATCGTAATATCAATCCATACATTACTGACGTCTATAATAAATGTCATTTTGACCCCTCATGTGAATTAAGTTTCAAAGAGTGTTCATTAAATACATTTTATAAAGTGATTTACCGAATGGGCTATCATTACAGCAAAACAGATGAACTTATTAGACAACAATTAACTGAAACACCAAGAATTCAAAAGTTATTATTTAATTATTTAACAAATAAATTAAAATTACAACATTTGTCACCGAAATCAGAGACGATATTTCTGGACGAAAGCGCTTACCATACAAACGACTCTAACCCTAAAGTGTTGAGACCTATTGACACCAATAAACAACGTAAAATTGGTAAAACAATTGGTCCTGGTGTTCGCTATAATGTGATACATGCAATAAGTAATGATGGGTTTGTGCCTAATTGTGAATTAATTTTAAAAAATACCACAATTAATGCCGAAACTTTTGAAAATTGGGCTAAAAATCAATTGATTCCCAGTTTGAATAAACACTATCCAAATTCGGTCGTAATTTATGACAATGCGAAAGTGCACTCAAGAATATACAATAGGACGCCAATTAATGGTACAATTGACCAATTAATAAATTGGCTTAAATTTAATAAAATTAATTACAATATTAATTATAAGTACAGAAGTGAATTATTAACAACAGTTCGTAATAACAAAAAACCTGTTGAATATTATTTTGACAATATGTTAAAAGAACATGGTCATTATGGTTTACGTTTGGCCCCCTATATGTGCGAATTTAACCCTATTGAACCCGTCTGGGGGTTAAGTAAACACTATGTTCGCAAACATTCATTTGGTATAAAACCATCACAATATAAAGATTTAATTAAAAGTTAATTTAAAAGTATAACACCTTATAAAATAGGAAAACACATTAGAGGTGTTGTGAAAAACTTTGAATCTCCAGCTCTACAAAAATTCAATATTATTAATATACCTGTTAATGATCACCACAGTTATTCCCTTAATTTTATTCCCGATGATTTGTCATTAATTTAAAGTTATTTAGTTTGTAACTATAATTATGTTATACTGTATCTGTTTTATATATGCTTATATAATAAAAAGTACCAATTCTATGGTATTGACATAAATACCGACAATAATAACGTCTCTCTTTCTTGTTCGTGAGAAACACAATATCATTGTAAGCATATTTAAAATTGATATAAATGATGTTCGGTAATTACGTTATTCACTATAAAAAACGTACATAACTGATACTAAATTTCTTAATTTTGATATAACTTTTATCNTCGGTAATTACGTTATTCACTATAAAAAACGTACATAACTGATACTAAATTTCTTAATTTTGATATAACTTTTATCGATTATGTCAGATTTGAAAAATCCCTTCGGATTTCGATTCTACTCATCCATACCTTTCTATTGATATATAATATGACATGGTTATTTATCAAATAAAAGATTTGATTTTCAAAATTTTACCGATAAAAGTGGTCACTACGGCTAGACCCGAAAGTATCTGGACATATGAAGTATATCACTCGACTACCTATTGAGTGTACTTTCATTTTATAACAATAAATCCAGGTTGCACGCTATCACACAGATGCGCATCCTTCTTTATTATTAAAAAAATAAGAAAACCAAAACTCATTAAAAATGAATAAAATAATTTTTTTATAACTAATTGTTATAGACAGGAATCGGATGCTTTTGCACAGAAAATAATAATAATTTGTTCAAAATGAAAATAAATTAAATGTGTTCAAAGCAATGAATCAAACATTACTAATATTTAAAGTCATGTTTTTCTGTGATTAATGTGCCAAAAAAGCACCCAAATCTTGTGCTTACTAATTGTCAACATTTTAGGTGCTATTCAAAGCCCACAATTATTGATGCTCTCAGGCGTGGGTCCAAAATATCACTTAAAAACATTTGATATACCGGTTGTATTGGACTTACCGGTTGGGCGGCATTATGTCAATCAACCTGTCGTTAGTGTATCTACAAAAACAAAGCCACAATATTTACATCTACTCAACCAATCGCCACAAATCAATGTCATACAACTGAAAAGGAATTATTTTGGGGGATAAGTGGCGTAGCCCATTCTAATTGGTATGGACATGTTCCGCACGGTTCATAGATGTATTTTCTTTTGAGATAATCGGCGAATGGCCAGA